GTTTTTGTTATCGATCAATTTTGGAAGAGATAGCCTAAATGGAAATAAGTTCTAAATAATTAATATGGACGATAGTGGTAATAGTGAATCCTCTAGGGCCGGAGGAAAACCTGTTTGGAGTAGATCGAATTCGCATTCTGTTCGGAGCTTAATATTCGACGACCAAATTGGTGGATCACCCCCTTTGAGAAATTCATTAAAAAACACCTCCAAAAATGTACAAAGTCTCGATTCGGGATATTCGCCTAGGAGACTACAAAGTTCTTTACAAAAATCGGATAAACAGCTTTCTAATGGTAAGTGTAAATAGAAAATCGTGTGCTGCACTACTATTTACGTTGTTACATTTTACTTTTTTTAAATAAATTTTGAGTATGTTTAACGAGTATTGTAAATGTAATTAACACATTATTAAATGCTTATATTACTAATTGCTCCTGGTTATATGTTGTTTTAATAAACATTGTCATTTTATTAACATTTGTTTCATTTTAGTTACTAGCACTTTTTTATAATATTTAATTTAATGTAAAACTATTTAAAGGACTATTGGATGATTATTACAGTAATTAAATAAAAGTTATCTGTATAAAAAAAACAGTTTCAAAGGTAAACTATTGTAATAAATTAATTCAATTCTATTTGTTAACAAAAAATTTAAAATAAAATAGCCCTTGAAGTCCATAATAATTTTACGAAGGAACTGAGTATGAGCAAAACTTATCCGATAGCATTGCATTACATAATTGTTTTACAACCCTTAATAATATGAATTTGGGGGATTTTGAATAATATTTGAAACTAAGTTTTTGAATCAGCTTTGTTGTTATCAAACTTTGTTGTTATTTCCTCGTGTAGCATTTTGACTACCTCTTTTGCTCTGGTAATAATTATTAAATGCAATAACTGTTTAATCTTTTTAATAATTAGCAATTTATCAAAAGTCTTGCATTTGCATTCGCATTATTAGTATATCACATAGTCTATAATCATGAAAATCAGAGCCAATTAATTATTTTATTGATATATTTGTAATTTGCGAAGAAAACTTCATGGCCATTAATAGTGTGTTGAATTATTTTAAAATTGTTTTTGTCGTAATATAAACAAATTTTATTAGAAAAGTTTACCTTTTACGATAGTATAAATAAACAGATTGAATTGATCTTAAATATGTTCACTTAATATGTGAAGATTTGCTTATCATATTTTGTAGTTTCGTAAGGCTTTGGTGAATTAATCTTTGGTTTAACAATTGTCTGCGAATGCTCTCACATTCATTTAGAATTAAAATCAATATAGTTTCTCATATTTTATCTAGTTTACAAACATATTATACAATTTTTGAACTGAACACTTATTTTTTATGGTGCAGTCTGAATAAATGCAGACTTTTATATATTTTTGTAAGATGTTCTTATCATATTTTGTAGTTTTGTAAGGCTTTGGTGAATTATCTTTGGTTTAACAATTGTCTGCGAATGCTCTCACATTCATTTAGAATTAAAATCAATATAGTTTCTCATATTTTATCTAGTTTACAAACATATTATACGATTTTTGAACTAAACACTTATTTTTTATAGTGCAGTCTGAAAAAATGCAGACTTTTATATATTTTTGTAAGATGTTCTTATGATATTTTGTAGTTTTGTAAGGCTTTGGTGAATTAATCTTTGGTTTAACAATTGTCTGCGAATGCTCTCACATTCATTTAGAATTAAAATCAATATAGTTTCTCATATCAAAATAGTTTCTCATATTTTATCTAGTTTACAAACATATTATACAATTTTTGAACTGAACACTTATTTTTTATGGTGCAGTCTGAATAAATGCAGACTTTTATATATTTTTGTAAGATGTTCTTATCATATTTTGTAGTTTTGTAAGGCTTTGGTGAATTAATCTTTGGTTTAACAATTGTCTACGAATGCTCTCACATTCATTTAGAATTAAAATCAATATAGTTTCTCATATTTTATCTAGTTTACAAACATATTATACACTTATTTTTTCTACGAACTGAACACTTATTTTTTATGGTGCAATCTGAATAAATGCAGACTTTTATATATTTTTGTAAGATGTTCTAAATGAAAATACATAACAAATAAATCACTAATTTTATGCTTAATGAATAGTTTATTTATAGGTTTTTTTAAAATACATTAATAACTAGTGGTGTATGGCATTGCACCTTAGGGCAAATTGCATGAACTTCCTGTACCTTAATGAAATATTCGAGGAATATTAAATGTTTTCAATTAGATTATTATAAACAAAACTTCGGATCTTCGGATTTAAAATGAAAGAATATTGTCTAATATTTCTAAGCACTATATAAACTGAATTGCAAAGTTAAAATTATTTATTTGAAATATATAAGTGATGTTTAGAATTTTTGCTAGAATTAGAATTAAAATCCGAATAATTTTTCCATATACAAAAAAAAATTTGAAAATTAAAAAAAAAAATTTTTTTATTTTTTTTTCAAAAGCAATCGTTTCGTCAACACAAGCAGTAAGTTTTTTAAATCATTCAAATCGGATACTTACTTCTCTCAAAATCTGCCATTTTTTGCACAATTACCTCTATATCTCCGAAACGGCTTGACCTGCCTTTGCCAAAATCTAATCACTACTTCTCCCCATCATTACGAATCGAATGTTTTTTGGATCATTCAAGTCGGTTGATTCGTTCTCTTAAAATCTGACATGTTTAGCACTTTTTGCTACATATCTCCGAAGCCGCTGAACCTGTCTTCGTCAAAAACCAATCAGCACGTCTCCTCATCAATAGAAATCGATTGTTTTTGAACCATTCAAATCGGATAATCCGTACGCCCGAAATCGTCGACGAAATATTGTCTCCACACATACACACACACATCTTTTTTTCTGAGGTATGCCAAAATGTTCAGAAACCTCTGAAACGTTAAGATATGCAAAAAAAAATCATTTTCGATTTTGGCCCATTACTATAACCTACCCCATGGAAAGTTAAAAATATATGTAGAACATTTTAGATGTGCTTCAGGTTGTCGACAGAACTTTTAGTTTTAATAATTATTAATTTTGAATTAATTAATTAATCGCACATTTTTTAAGACTAACATAAACAGTATTCACCAATTTGGAAATAGAATGAACATTTATTTTCTGCCCAAAGAAGAAGTTTATGTTTTCGCCAGAAAATCCGATTTATAAATTTTGGTTTTTCAACGTTTCAAGCCATTCTGAATAGTTTATCACCAAAATTGGAAAAACTATGTGTGTATGTGAGTCAAAATGATACAATTCGCCAATGTTTTCTCATAAATGACTGCATCAATTTCAAAAGTTTATGTTATTGGATGAAACTCGATAAGGGCTCGCATTGATTAAGGGGCGTCCATTAATCACGTGATCGATTTTTTAAGGATTTTAGGACCCCCCTTCCCTTTGGGGATACGTGATGATATTTAAAAATATACCCCCCTCCCGCAACAAACATTACGCGTGTTTTTTGTTGCAAAGAAATCGTAAAATTTTTGAATTTTTTTTTTAAATGTTTGGATTTTTTTCAAAATTTAAGTAAAAAATAAATACACGTGATATCTTACTTGACCCCTCCCTCCCCTACTTGATACTTTGTCATTTTATGTCAACACCCCCCCCTCCCCCTAAAAGCCTTACGTGATTAATGGACGCCCCCTTAGCTTTTTGCCTTAATCGGCCGAGACCTTTCTTTAAAATTAGCAGAAAACTGTAAAATTTTAGTTTACGTTCTACCCAAAAATCCTAGAACTGTGTTGAAAATTCAAAACTGATATTATATTGGTTGAGAATCGTTCTGATTAGTTTTAAATAAAGATCGTTCGTTCGGGATGTTTCTTCGTAATTATTTGTTGATTTTTTTTTAAGAAATTGATGAAATTGTATATGATACAATTCTTAATGAACATCCTAAAACATTATTAAAACTGGTATTGGTTGGGAATCGTCCTGATTAGTTTGAGATAAAGATCGTTCGTGTTGTTTCTTCGTAATTATTTATTGATTTTTTTAGATGAAATTGTATATAATACAATTCTTGGTCTCAACGAACGTCCTATAATATTATTACGCAAAATGATGTAATTATAAAAATTCATTAAAGTTTGACCTAATGGGTCGTGTTATAATTTCAAATTATTATATTGTGAAAAATATTTATCAATTAAAATATAAATATATTTCAATTGTTAATTATTAAGTCGATAATTTACATGTATAAGGAAGTATTTGCACCTTGCACCACTTACGCTCACAAATTAAATTCCATTTTTCTGATCGTGAAAATGCTTTATTGTTGCTATGGTTATACAGAAGGTATAATTATATCGTAAGGGGGCTTCCATTAATCACCTTCGGTAGATGGAGGGGTCTACAAAACATCACGTGAGGGAGGGGTGTGTAAGATATCACGCTTATGTATTTATTTTTTACCTGAATTTAAAAAAATCCAAAAGTTATCAAAGAAAATTGTGAGAGAAGAGGTTGATTTTAAATATTAAACACGTATGACAAGGGGGAGGAGGGGGTCCAAAATCCTTAAAAATTAATCACGTGATTCATAGACGCCTTCTAATATAGGCAAACTTATTTTATTTGACAAAAATCCCGAAATATCACGTGGGGCAGGGAGGGGTATAGTAATATATCACGTGTATTTATTTTTTACCTGAAATTTTATTTAAAAATCCAAACATTAAAAAAAAAATCAAAAATTTTACATTTTTTCTCATAACTAAAGTTACACTTAATGTTTGGTCGGAGAGGGGGGTAATTTTGAATATCATCATGTATCACGAAGAGGGAAGGGGGGTCCAAAATTCCTTAAAAAATCGATCACGTGATTAATGGTTCAAAGAAATTTCGTATCGCATATGATCTACAATAACAAGAAAACATTATCACGATTCCAAATTCTCATGCTGCACTAATTAATCGCACAAAAATGATAAAATGATAAGGTGCGCAATAGATTTTGATTTTTTATCTTATTACTCTAGATTATATGTTAGTAAAAATCTTAAATATATTTGATAATTAACTTCTCATAAGGTAAGGTATGGTAATCGCAAAAAAATCGAAAATGAATTTTTACTTATCTTTACATTGCAAAGGTTTCTGAACATTTTAGCATAAATTTTTGTCGATGATTTCGAGAACACGGATTAACCGATTTGAACGACTCAAATACATTCGATTCCTATTGATGGGATGACGTGCTGATTGGTTTTTGACGGGGCCATTTTAGAGATACGGGGAAA